AAAGAACTAGACATACTGGATTTATATTTTAACAATGCAGATTTTAGCAACATGTTAGAAAAAAGATCTGAGGTTTTTTTTAAAAAAAAATCCACCTAATCTGGTAACAAAGATTTGATAAGCTCCTGATGAAAAAAAATGTTCAAGTTCTAAAGCAAACGTTCTTTTGATTATCCCTCAAATGTTCTCAGAGTTATGAGTGTAAATTGAAATAAACACTGTATGCTTTATTTACACATTTAATTTCATTAATTTTATTTTTCACTGGGACTATAAGCTTACCTTCATCAGAAAATTGAGGTTTCTCCTGATTTAAATCTCAGATTTATCCTGCAGACTGTTTGTTACAGTCTGTGGCATGGTCAGAATTGATCTAAAGAAAAGGCAAAGAAGAGCAAACTTAAAAACATCTGAAATGAAAAAAAAATAATGAGCAGGTGTATTTAATCTCATTGCTTAAATAGTAGTGAGAAAGATGCTTCTGTGTTGTGGGGAAACAGACATAATGGAAATATTATAAACTGCCCAGAGTTATCCTGGATGGCCAAAAAATTGGATAAAGATATATTGAATTTCATCATTATTTTTTGATATTGTGTTACATATTTTACCCAGCTTTACCACCAAGTCTACATATTAATGACCATCTGATCAATTTAGAAAACACCTGAAAAATTATAGTAACTTGACATTTTAATGATACAGTCATTCAGTAAATCTCTAATCTGGTAAAAGGTTCATTCTGAGTGACTCAGGACATATCAATTTTTCATTAATGAACACATATTGGGACGGGGGGGGGGTATAATAACACCATGCCAAAACTGAACTGCAGAATAAATTTGCAGCATTGAATTAGTTCATATTATAGAATAAATACTTTGGAAGGCACCAGAAAGTTCTCCGGCTTGGTACAATTTCTGGTATCACACTCAGAATATCACACCCTAAAAATGCATAAAGGAGTGATGGCTTTCTAATTTTAGGTCTTATTGCTAATATCTGAAACTGTGTTCCATTTCCCTGACATACAGTACTGGAAGATCTCAGGTGGGTGAAATTCATCGGGTAAACAAGATTAATCTGTGCCTTTTTAATGAACTCTAAATAACTAAATACCTGTTCTGCAGTTTTGCTACACTGGAATAAATATCACCCATGGATTAACTTCCAAACAGTGCTACCATTAGTCATAATGGGACTGCTATGTTGATTAATATACCGTTGAGAGTATGGAACAATTTTCCGAGACTGGGAATTGGAAGTATGTGTGTGTGTGTTGTATGAGTTAGACTATGACTCGCTGGGTGCTCTGCTGTCCTTAAGGGCAGGGAGGAGACGTCAGGGTATAACTGCCAGTCTAGCCAATTTTTGAATGCGCTTAAAGGAGGGAGTGCCATCCTCTGTCTTACTGAGACAGAAGGATGTCTTAGGCTATGTAGGCTTTTTGGCAAACTGCCTCCATCTGTGTATTTGTAGGGTTATGTTAACTTCCATGGAGAGCTCATGTCTTGTAAACATAGGCTAGATTGATGGCCTATCTTGTTCATTGTTCTAGCTAAATAGTTTTTCATATTTCATCTTTCATCTACTGGTTCTGCAACTAACCAGTGATGATGGCAAATTAGCTCAGTCCTTGTTCAAACCATCATTTGAAAGATAGAGATGAAGTATCTCTAAAACTAAATGGAATGATCACACAGTTTTTCAGCAGACTTATCCATTAGTGGAATAGCACTTGGATTGTAAATACTTTTTATTAAAAAAGAACAAAATATTCATAATACCAGTTGTATTATACATAAGACAAAAGTGGCTTCAATTTGGACTTGTGTATGAACATTTTGGTGTTGGCGTTGATTTTTATAATATATGAGTATTTAAATATTCTATTAGCTAATAATTAGTTGAACCCTCCTTGTCATGGTTTATGCTGTAGTTGAAAGATAAAGAATAAAGGAATATTTCCCAAAAAATCCCATTGTTATCACAAGGACATCATAATGAGTGAAGAAAAAAAGAAAGAAAGAAAGAAAGAAAGAAAGAAAGAAAGAAAGAAAGAAAGAAAGAAAGAAAGAAAGAAAGACTAGTATATGCCCAATTAGGAAATAATTAATATTCTGCTTTGAAAATTAGTAATTGTCTATGGCTATATAGCAACTCTTTTTATTAAAAAAGAGAAAATTTGAGACATTCTGAATCTCCGTGGTTCTAATTTTCTGGCATTCTATGGGGAAGAAAATTCCTCTGAAACTTCTGGAAATGACTCCCTTTCCCTCCCATACATATGTGCTGAAGATCAATCAATCAGAATAGAGCTGGAAGGGACCTTGGAGGTCTTCTAGTCCAACCCCCTGCTCAAGCAGGAGACCCTATACCATTTCAGACAAATGGCTGTCCAGTCTCTTCTTAAAAACCTCCAGTGATGAACCACCCACAACTTCTGATGGCAAGTTGTTCCACTAGTTATTTGTTGATGCAGATCAAGATTTATACCATTCAAATTAAAGAATGTAGATGAATTATAGGACTGCAGCAACTCATCTAATATTTTTTCCGGGATTAGAGCTTTTGAGCTTTGCTGTAAATGGGAAGAATTTTGGCATATGTGCGGTTAAGTTTTTGTGGTGTCAAAGCTTTGCATCTGGTTCCTAAGACCATATGAAACAGGCCACGCTTTCTGAATGCCCAGGTCTTTGGCGGCTGCCTCCCCCAGTTCTCTATCTCTTTCCTCCCATGTTCTCCTGCTGAAATGACATCTCTGAAGTGGGCAAGTTCCTTGTCTAGTCCTGATTAAAGCAACATGCAAACAGATGTTTTAATCCCTCTGCAGTGCTAAGCTTGAGCAGGCATAAACAAATCATGAGAGCTTTTCAAGAGGGTGCTGGTGCCCCGAGGAAGCCATTTGTCTCTAGGGCTCATTTCTTGGAGATTATTTGTGGAAAAGGCAAGATTTTTTTTTTCAGTTCCATACTAATAAGAACTAGTCCCTGTCAAGAAGGCAAAACGCCATTCCCTTAACAGTTCTACCATGATTTAAAAGTTCAGATACTTTCTCCTGCCTGAGGCATTAATGAATTTTTTCACCAAAATAATGGGTGTTCTGATAAGTATAATGGATGGTCTGTATGTAATTACAGCAAAAATACTTAACAGAGTTTCATCTATTTGTTGATATTATAGTTGTTTTTTTAAAGGTTAAAGGAAAAAAGTAGATTTCGCAAAAGTGAAAGAACAACATCATGAATGAATATTGCTTGGAAAAAGAGAAGGTTATATATTATACAAGTTTCTAAGAAAATTGTTTCAAAAATTATTATAGGGAAAATTTAACAAAGCATGTGTCATTTGTCTTCAGCTGAGTTTATGCGGAGATAAATATATCAGGTGAATTGAAATTATTCCCTACGGCAGCTCTATTTACTCATTTTGGTTTAGTAATTTTTCTGTTATAACATCTTATCAATATTGAAATCTCAGATTTCTTGATATACAGGAAAGAAATAAATTTAGATTTGAAAAAAATATAATGTAGAAGAAAGTGAAGTGGCAAAGGCTTTGAATATTTCATTTTTACTTGACTGAATTGTATTTGGTAAATACAAATAGGCAAGATTTTATTCTAATGAGTTTTGGATAAGAACTTTCCCAAAAGGAATGATTTCTTCATGAACAGGATGGAAAGGATATAAGATGTTTGAAAGTGCTCAGATAGGAATAAGTGGGATTGACAGATTCATTCTTTCCTAGTCTTGATTGATGGTTCATCTTCTTGCAATATTGTGGATGTTGACTCCTACTGCCCTTTGCCAAGCTTACTCCCTAGTAACTATGTTTTGGATTGCAAATCAGTACAGACCTATCAGCATGTTGAGCAATTTTGAAAGATTTCTGCATAATATTTGTAATATGTAAATTGATTCTTACTTGCTTCTTTGACATGCAGCTGAATGTATCACATCTTCCTGTAGCAGACAAAATATGATTTCTTCACTTAACATTCTCTCTGGTCTGCAGCGTCATTTCTCCTAATTTTTAAAATATCAGAAGTCCAAAATGCCACTGAACTTGATTTTCAATTTGGAAACAAATCTAGTGACTTGAATTTTGAACCATGACAATTATGAAAGACCCAAATGGATTTTGGAAAGACAATGCAAGCTAAGGTGATGGTGTTTCACCTTTTGTCCTTCAAGATAAGGTTATGTTATGCCAGATGTACCTGGTTATCCCTTGTGAGTGGAAGTGAAAGAAAGAAAGGCATTCGCAGGCCCTATAAGTGGACTTTCCTGACAAATGAAAGGGAGAACAAGCTGGACTTCATAAATGTCAGAAGTTTCAAAATTATTCAATTATTTATAGTTACAGGCAGGCCTTCTCTGTAACATTGGCCATACCTTCCTAGACTGCCTCTCTGTTTTAGCTACATCCATTATTTTTCTTCAAAAGCCTAAAAAAAAAGACAAGAAGGAGAAGGAAGGAAGGAAGGAAGGAGAAGGAGAAGGAGGAGGAGGAAGAGAAGAAGAAGAAGAAGAAGAAGAAGAAGAAGAAGAAGAAGAAGAAGAAGAAGAAGAAGAAGAAGAAGAAGAAGAAGAAGAAGAAGAAGAAGAAGAAGAAGAAGAAGAAGAAGAAGAAGAAGAAGAAGAAGAAGTAATTCTTTTCATAGCATCCTTCAATAGTATCTCACTTACATGGGAATAAAACTTACTGATTTCTAAATAAGATACATGCACAACACATTATGTTATCTCTCAATTTAATTTGATCTAGTTAGAATTTCAGTCTAGTAAATCCCATTCACACTCTGTCAGAGAAAGAATAGCTATTGCTTGCATTCCCTTGTCTTTCTTCACCCTTCCTTTGTAGTTGTAGAGTGGAAAATCTGAACAAATGAAAGGTTTGCGGTTATTTGGGCAGAAGTTAGAGTTCAGTTCTGAAAGATGCACTCTCTCCCAGTTTTACAGTTACGGCTGCAGCAACGAAGAAGCCGAGAGCAGCTTGCCAACCAAGGCATCATGCCACGTAAGTACTTCGTTTTGTTCTCCCTACCATTACTGTATCCACAGGCATCCTTGGTTGAGGTCTGCCCTGTCCCCCACCCCCACCGTCCCCCCCTCGCCCAGTCCCTGGAGCATTTCATCAGGATAATTACAGATTCAGAGCAGGGTACGGCCTCTACAGGTGCACTGCTTTAGCATCTCCAGTCTAGACTATGCAGTACCCTTGCAGAAATCAACTTTTTCTCGGGAGGGATTGAAAAAGAGTTCTGTATAGAAAGATCTTTCATGAATGAAGGCAAATATAGGTATATCCCAGGATAATGTTGCCAGATCCAATCTGGGTCGGTCACCGGGACTCATGCTGCAACCCTTCCTCAGGGAACTTCTCTGTATGCTCTGGGCTATTCTGTGTGTGGTATTTGTATGGTGGCTGCTGTGTAGCTTTTAAGATGTAGATTGGATTGTTGATGGCTGGCTATCAACACCCTAATAGCCAGCCACCAATGCACAGAACAGCCCAGAGCGCACCGAGAAACTCCCTGAGGATAGGCTCCAGCATGATTCCAAAAGCTTCTGGTCCCAGATTGGATCCCGCAGAAAGATCTTTTTTCTCTACTCCTCATCCTGAGAGGGTTGTACTCCCTATTTTCTGCTCTGATGATAAGCTAGTAGAAGGAGTTTCCCTGTAAATTGTACTTGGGATTTTTTAAAAAAAATTTTAATTGCCAAGAGCTATTGCTGCTGTGATAATTAAAATAAGGTATAAAACTTTAACTTGTACTTTTCTAAGAATTCTAAAGAGCCCTGGGATCAGTGGGGATTATAGATGTGGTACACCAGATTGTATTAATTTGTTGCCAGGTTTGGGATGCCTTGCAAAACAACCCCTCTAAGGTAGGTCATTAGGTCATGATTATTCCAATTTTTTGCAGATGGGGAAACTGAGACTGAGAGAGATAACACCTTGCCCAAGGCCACCCAGTGAGTCCATGGTCAAACTAGGATCTGAATCCAGGTCTCCCAGCCCAAACACTCTATCTGCTGGATCACCCTAACTCTTAGCCACACACACAATTTCTGCAAAAGGCTTTGGGTTTAGCATGTGGTTGTTAGCTCTGCTATTGCTTTCCTCTTGAGTCACAACCTGCCAACCGTTCTATGTATTTGGCATGGATCATCTGTCACTTCCCTGCAAATGGCGCATGCAGCAGCTTGGCAGTTTCATAGGGCATTTCAGTATCGGTAGGACAGGTACAGCATGTAATCACTTCTGAGTGGATCCTCGCGGACTGTTTATGTAATGCGTGGCCCAAAGTTCTTGACAGTTTTATTCCTATCCCACTATCAGGCCAAACTGGCGTGTTCTACAAAAATGAGGTGTCATTGGTGTTTGCCAACTGTCAAGGGATGCTCTGACACCCCATAAAAGTTGCTAGTTTACCTCCCGAAAGGCATTTTTGGTCACAAAGAGAAGAAGGAAGAAAGTGACAGGGAACTAGAAGCAAGAATAATAGTTGTAGGTTATGCTCTCAGGCAAACAGATCTGAACCACCTCCCAGATGTTCACCGTACCGAGAGAGAAATCTTTATCTCCCTGTCCTTCATAATCCAAAATGTATCTTCCTCGAGAAGACAGAGCTTGGCAATATCCTTTACAACCACTGAAGAGCAACAGATTTATTTAGCTAGGTTTTACAAAAAGCAGATAGGAGAGCAGCCATGAAATAAGGCATGGGTTTTGTTAGATTTAGCTAGCCATATACAAGATAAATAGATTTTTGCCACATGTCTTTGGCCAGTTTGTTTGTTTGTTTTTTGCAAAAGAAAAGTGGATCAGGAAAAATCTGAAACAGCCTTTACAGTAGTTCATTTTAAATAGTAGTCATCTATTATGGCAAGTGATGTCAATTACCTTATTAACCTGATTATTTACTTCTTTGTTCAGTGATGATTTCTACAGAGTAGGCAGGGAAATGGCTACCAAAAAGGGTTGGAAATAGCTGCTGATACTAAGTGGTATGAATATGGACAGGAGATCCCTGGAAAACCCACATAGAGGAAGAGTAGAAATATCAGTCATATTATTCAGCCTTCTTCCTCATTTCCTGTCAGTATTTACTTTATAAAAATGTTCTCTTTTTCTCTGTGATTTTTCTCTCTATATTCCTTGCAACACATTACACTGACAAAACTCATAACTGGAGACAATGATTGGATTAGTGTTGTTATTTGATTCATTGGTAGAGTACATTTTTAAAAATGTATTTGCCTAAATTCTGTTCTTCAAACCATTTTCATCTCTTCCTTAGCTCACATCACACCTCTGGACAGGCATATTCGTTCTAAAGCAGGGGTGTCAAACTTGCAATGTCATGTGACATGTTGCGACGTATCACAACTTTTTTGCCATTGCCGACAATGGGGTGGGCACGGTTTTGCTATGATGCATCCGGCCCATGGGCCGGCAGTTTGACACCCCTGTTCTAAAGCATCTCAAAGGACGAGGGAGGTTTTAGATTAGCGAAGTTGGCACTGATCATTTTTACAACTTATTCTGCCTTTTCTCACTAATCTTTTTTCAGCTGCTAACTGTGGCATTAGAAGTTGTTCCCTGTGCTTTTTTTATTGCACTCTTTTTCTTATCTGTTTAGTTTTTGTAGAGTTGCTGTTTGTTTTTTTGAGTGTATATTGGGTACATATATCTCCTGAGTCCACTTAAGTGTAGGAGATAAATAATAAAGTAGCTTGTCCGATACATCAGTGCAGAATTACTCACTTCTCTGACAACAAATTCATTTGAAACAGAGAAGCCATAACTGGCATGTGAAGATTGGATAAATCATTGATTAAAAGCAGTTTTTACTCTCTTATTTTTTTTTTCTAGTGAAAGAAAGTAAAAAAAAACAACAACCCGTGCTTGTGAAATTAAAAAATAGTATCGCCTTTATTTTCTCATTGCACAGCTTATCACAAATTGTACAAAGAAAGCAAACAATAATTTGACACTTACTAAAAAAAGGGACCTGAATTTTGTCTGAAAACTTTGAGATTGAAGTCAGTCAAGACGTATGTGCCAATGCACCTTCGCTAAGCCTCTTAAAATATAGGGGCAGCCTCCCACTTGATGAAAAACAGTTACAAAAACAAGTTTATGGGGAAGAAAGATTTCCTTATGAAAAATTCACTGATGCTTCAAAAAGCCAGAATGGACCACTTGATCGGCATCTATTTAGCTTCTAGTCAGTACAGTTTGTCAAGTTTAAGATTCTTGCCTTCTATTTTCTCATTTTGAAATGAAATTTAAAAAATGAAAATTGGGAAATATTTCTATCTCAATCTCTCTCTCTTTCTCTCTTTTCCTTCTCTATCTCCAATGAGATTGTTGGATTAAGGATGAGTGTCGGATCTGGCATAAAATGAGCTTCCTAATAATTAAACCTTATATTCAGGCTCTTGCAGTTGCATAAGCCCTCTCTCCATCTCACTGTTTGTGTGAACCTCCATTTCAGTATAGTTCCTTTCTCAGCACAAACAAAGACCGGGAGGGGGGGAGGAATAGGAGCTGGCAATCTGAATGCTGGCTTGTCTGCCTGCTTAAGTAAATGGGATCATTGTCCCAGAGCTCTGTGCAAATTAAAAAAAAAAGATAAACTATGAAGAAAAAACACACAAACCCCAAAACACACTGGCTGGTTCCATGCAAAACAGAAGGGAACTTTTTGTTTTTACTATAGCCTGTTTGGAAGAAAACAGACAATTTGAGCTGGCCTGTTGCCTGTTAACTCTGGTCAGTTTCACCCCTGCTCACTTTTCTTAGGCTACAGGATAGCAAAAAGAGTTTCAAGCAAGAGTTGGGGAGGGGGGGGGGGGAATTAGAAGCAATTAAAATATTTTATCTGAATTCAGAAGAGATGGGAGTTAGAAAAGCAGATATTGTTAAAGTGCCCCTTGCCAGCAATTAACTGATTTTTGAAATGTATTGTTGAATTTATACTCCACTTTTCTGCTCATTCCAACATTCCAAATGCCTTACAGTAGCCTTAAGATTATTTCATACTATGGCACTGTTTTTCAACCTGACAACTTCAAGATTTGTGGGGAAATGAATTCCGCACATTTCAAAGTTGCCAAAGTTGAAAACCCCCCCCCCCTGCATTATAGCATAATCTGAATTGGATTCCATGTGAAGGACCTGCAGAGAAGAGGAGATGATTGGCTACTCAATACTGGGGAAATTAAGAAAGCAATTTTTGCCTCACGCACTACAATTTCCCTGTCTCTTCTCTTGCATAAATACTTAGTTGCTGTTCACTGCTGGCAGACAAATAAAATAGTTTCGAAAGAACATTACCCAAATCTGTCTTCTTCCATTGATTCAGGGCAACTTGGTGGTCCCAAGAGGCCATGGATGATACAAACCCATTATAATAATTTGGCATTTTGTCCGGTATATTTTGTTGTTGGCTTTTTAAGATTGTTTTTAATCTGCCTGCTACAATAAGTATGCTAAAATGGTTCATAAAAAAAAACACAACTGGGAAAATTGGAATGTAATGGATAACGAATGTAGTAGCCCTCTAAAACTGAAAAAATAAAATAAAATAAAATGGGGGGAAGAACCTATTTTTCCTTTTATTGATTCCTTAAGTGCTGATGCCATGTGATGAAAGATAGCTCAAGGGAGAAAGGGAGAAACTCGTTGGCAGTTTACAGCTAGATCTTCTCTGACTGATCATGCTGAATTCTCCACCCCAATCTGAGAAGCATGACCTAGCGTAACTATATTTAGAATTAACGTGCAAGATTATAAGTGCATTTCTTAGACTTTTTCAGAGAAAATGCCCAGATCCTGAACAAGCTGTGCTTTTGTGTTAACCTCCCTCACCTCAAGATATCTACCATCAGAGGGTCTCCTGCTTAGACGACATCTGTCTCTTTGCTCAGCTCCACCCTCCACCATTTTTCACGCCACTGCCCGATCTATGATAAAGACGAGTGATTTCCATTGGATTGTAGATGTCACTGTTGTTGTTGTGATTATTATTGTTATTATTATGAAGAACGTGAAGCTGACTGTATGCCCCATGCGCACGTTGAACTCACTAGGCTTCTGCTTCTTTCTGTTTGCAGCGCTGAAAAGCCCTTCTCCCTTCCATGAGCAAAAGAAGAGCTTGGAGAGAACCAAGGTAACATTGAGCAGGCATTTGAGTGGGTAGATAGTGATGGCCTCACCTCGGATAACCATCTTTTTAGGACTCAGAAAATCCCTCTGCGGAGCTGTGACTGAAAAAAACATGCTTAATGACATGTCTCAATAAAGACAACAGTGCTAAACACATCGATGGGATGTTCAGCTTAGGTACTGGCACATAGCCGTAGGAAACTGAATATTTGCACTCTGTAAGCTGGAAAGTGTATTCAAGTTTGCTACACTTGATCATGCAAGCCACGAGGGTAGTGGGGAAATCCCAAAAAGAAACTTTGATTCTTGCTTGCCGTGGACCACATTGCCCTTCAGTTCTTATGATAATATAAGGTTCCTTTAAGCTAGTGACCACTTATGCTCTGTGTCTTGTTGCAACAGCCCTTGCAGTGAGATTAGGCATTGTTAAAGCTAGTGGAAAAGCCAAAAGGGAAGAGCTGATAAAAAAAAATGCAATATATTCTCACATTTATTTTGCTCATTGGTTAAGCCAGATCTTATTATGAAAAGAGATTGACTTGTTCAATAGCTGATCATGGGCTTGGATGATGGAAACACCAGTTCTGTAACAGGGTTGGTACTGCCCGCTTGCAAATAAATTATTTGGGGGGAAAAAGGTTTGTCTCATGTACATTGGATTAAGGGTTTTCTTTTGTTTACTGGCAATTCAACTTGTCCTCCCACTCCCAGTTGGTATAGGTTCTCCTATTTTCAAAGACCAAAATATCACCTGCCCTCCAACAATACCAACGGGATGCTGTTCACTCTGTGCTGTCTGTGATATGCCTGATAGACACAGTTCTTCTTTTGTTCAGACAAGATTCCATTTCTCATTGCAGATATGATACGATAACATGGATGTCTTTGTCTGCATGGAACAAGTTCTTTTTAAGAGATCTAGACCAACTAGGCCTTTAAAAAATGTTTTAGAAGAACTATAATCCCACTGGAAAAGCTTTGTTTATTTGTGACTGTAGGTTCAATGTTCTATATTTCTAATTTATGGAACATGACAGTCCTTGAAAACTATCTACCACCATAAATAATGCAGGTTAGGGACCAATAGCATAGAGAAGCTTTGTAAGAGCCTAAAAATGTCCATTGGTTTGAAATGCTTAGGAATTAGCAATAGTAATAGTAATAAACTTATATAGTGCCCCATAGTGTTTTACAGCACTCTCTGGATGGTTTGCAATGTCAGTATATTAGCCCCAATAATCTGAGTCCTCATTTTACTAATCTCAGAAGATTGGAAGACTGAGCCTATCAGGATCAAACTACAGAGTTAGGCTGCCATACCACATTCTAAGCACATTCTTTTTACTTATAGCCCCCATAACACAGCATGTGTGTTATTTCTCTGTTCGTGGAACAGTAGGATCTACTTAATACATGACTGGATCTCATGCAGACAGGGGAACCAAATGATTGGCTCCATTTTACCAGTTCAAAATGATGCCAAGAGGATGATGGGGGAGATTACATTATTTTACATGAGTGTCTTGCAAAAATGCATGGCTAATGTAAGGAAGGATCTATAGCCCATTGTGAAAAATTAATGTGCTTGGGAGACTTCAAGCAGTCTGAAGTATCTTTGAAGTGCTGTGTATGTTCAGACATAGGTTAATATCTCACTGTCTCTTCAAAAGCTTCTACTGGCTGGTTGCCTAGAAGAAAAAAAGAATTATATGAGTCAAAAGACCTAAACTGGATCCATTCGGAAAGCCAAAATAGACTCACAAATATATTCTCGGCCTTTATTGAAAGTACTGGGCACTTTATTGAAAGTACCGAGTGAGAAATTTACATTAGTATATTTCTTAGGTAGCTAGAGAATGGTAGTTTGATGGGAGGTCTCTATGAATCTTTTTTTAATACATGACCTGAAACAACATTAGTTTAATTATATTAATTCAAACAAATGCAACAGTAGTTACATGGACAAAAAGCAGCACCTGCAATTTATTTAAATGAAGCCACAGAATTTGCTTTAGTCCAAGTGTATGTTGTAGAATGTAGACAGTTGCAGTCTATGTTAACAAGAACAACTGAACTGTTTTGAATTTAATACATGTTCTAAATTGTTGTTTCATGTCATCAGTCCATTGTATTAGCTATCAGTAATTTGTGTTGTAAGATATATTAATGGAGGCCTTCAATAGATCCAAATCTAACTGGCAAAAATTTGGTATCCAGATTAGAAATTGTTGTAAGCAGGTCATGTTTTAAGTCTAGAGCACAATAGAGAGTGTCTAGTAACAGTAGAGTATCCTTGTTATAATGCAATCCCTAATACTTTTAAGCTAAGCTAGTGAGGTAACAATCTCTGTTCTTATGTTCTACAGACTGAAGATTATTTAAAGCACAAGATCCGAAACAGACCTGAGCATTCTGAACTGCTTGATATGCACATTGTTCAAGGTAAGACTGGCTGAGTTGCTCTTCATTGTGAAAAAAAATCTATTTAATAAGTAAGTTAAGTTTTAATATTTCCTCCAACTATGTGCCATTCCATCTATGATGGTGCCTTTTATCCACTCGCCCAAAAGTTTTGCATTTCTCTTTTAGCTTAGGAGATGTGGTTTTTTTAAAAAATGGGGGCATATAAATGATTTTATCCAGATATGATATACACAATGCCCATTAACTCTAGTCTATTTACACTACTAAGAACTCACTCATAATGAGTCCTAGTCTATTGAGATAGAGGCGGTGGGAAATGCTCCCATGAATGGAGAAGAATATTAGTTGGAAACCACATACAGGTAATACTTTTTGTATATTAAACCAACCCTGAAAGAAAGTCCTTTCCAACTGTTACATTCCGTGATTCTGTGATGTTAGGTACCTACTACTTAATGTAGTCAATGTAATTATTTTTGTTGCATATGACTTGTCATGCTTGCTAGAGTTTATTTTAATCATGCTTTGTTGAACAAGCCAGGAATAAAGCAAATAAACCATGAGGCTGAATAAATCATTATGATAGTGTGACTATTTCTAATATTGATTCTAATATTTCTAATATTGATTTCTAACAATCAATAAGCCAATCCCTAGTCATAGTTTGAAACCATGATTTCCTTTCTAAAATAAGTTATGATTTACCGACTGGCCTTGTTGACATATCACACTAGGCTACAAACATGCCACTTTATGATATAGTACAATGTGAAACCCAAGTGTGTTCTGGTTAAATGCTTTTTGTTACAATTGCATCCATGTATAAGGACCTGCATATTCCCTCTTTAAAGAAACTGTTCTGAAGTAACATGCTGTGCTTGTTGAGCTTTTTCTAAGCAGAAAAAGAAAAAAGAGACTTGGTACAAGATTTAATAATTTTCACCACTTACTTGACAGATTCAACTGCAGAAGAATCCATTCAAACTAGTCAGATGAAACTAAAACGAGCTCGTCTTGCAGACAATCTGAATGAAAAAATTGCTCTTAGACCAGGACCTCTGGAGCTGGTGGAGAAGAATATCATTCCCATTGACTCGGCTGTGAAAGAGGCCATCAAAGGTAATTTTAATAGGTACCTGTTCAAGTACACTGGTTTTAATTGGCAATGGTTCAGGTACACTTTTGTACCCAGAACACCAGAGGAGGAAGGCAGATTCCACTATCATGGAGAAACTCCTATGGGGTTGCCTTTTGAATGACTCCTCTGAAGGAGCATGGATGCATGTTGAAGATCTACCAGGACTTAAGTATTCCTGAATGGTTTATTCCTTGTTGGCATGTCCCCTCCAAATCCAAGATATCTGTTTGCTAGCTAAGCAGGAAGACACTTGATCAAAGCCAGACTCGGCCCTGCAAAGATTACAGGGCATAGAAAGAATCTTCTTTTCTTCCACTGTCTTCCAGCCTTTCAGGGTCTTTGTGATAGAGCCTGTCTTTCCCAGCACTTTACTTATCAGTAGAAGCCAAGGGTCAAGTGCTTTTGCCTGCTAGATGACGGGATATTGCATGGGAACACTTTCCAGAACTCCTGAGGTCTGCTGAGTGGCAGAGAAGCAGCATCTGGCAGGAGTCATACCGAGTCTTGAGGAAGCAAAACCAACAACGCAAAAAGTCTCCTCATTGTGTTCCTCTAAGGAAATTGCTAGATGCTACATTTCAAAAAAAGGGGGCATTCTAGAATTTTGATGTTTGTTGACCAGAGTTTATCTATTGGGCAACACAGTCTTCGGGACTTCCTTGAATATGTTTTCTCTCCCAGGATGAACTCTTTTTTGCCAACATTTCTATCCATTTTTAAGAAACAAACTGACAGGAGAGGAATAATTTGTCCTGAAAGAATAGATAGCGCTTGCATTCTTCAGAGCTGTGAAATTCTGGAAAAAAATAAGGATCTGAATTTAAAGAGGATGCTTGTGTTAGTGTATTGTTGGCAGAAACTTCCAAAAGTTCATTATGGCCCATTATGTTGAACCCAATTTGTGTTGAATAGGGGATGAAATCCTGTCTTGACTCACCTTCAGTAACAATCGACGGCTGTTGCAGAGCTGTTGTGGTGCAGTGGTTAGAATGCAGTATTGCAGGCTAATTCTGCTGACTGCCAGGAGTTTGATTCTGGAACGGTTCAAAGTTAACTCATCCTTCCATCCTTCCGAAGTCTTCTAGTCCAACTCCCTGCTCAAGCAGGAGACCCTATACCATTCCAGATAAATGTCTGTCCAATCTCTTCTTCTACAAAAGGAAAAAAAATTATGACATGATCATAGAATAACTGTATTTTTTTTCAATTAAAGTGAAGTATAAATTAATGAAATCAGATTTAGCTTTTGTCCTAGACACACCATTTTTGCAGTGCTGATCCAGCATGACATTTCAAGGCCCAGAAAAGTTATATAGGAACTTATGGGGGTGGTTTAGCAACTTACATGGAAACAAATTGTGTACAAATTATATATTATAATACCTCCATTAGAATAAAAACTATCTTCCAAAAACCCAGAATAAAAAATAATGGCCCTTATTGTTCTAAGAAATATCTTGAATATATACATACAAGGTCTGCTAAAAAAAACCTCAATTGATAGAAATTCTAGCAGTCTAAGTTTATAACTTGTGTATTCAGCACAATTTTATCTGCATATATGTGATGATGAAATATACACTGAGTTTTATAGCCAGATCAGAGTATTTTTCTGAAATAAATTTTATCTTGCAATTATGAAGCTCAGTCTCTATTGTATCAACTTACAGTGATGGTTTTCATCAACTGAGTACCATCATTGGTTGACCATTGCTTTATTTTGAGGTTTTGGGAATTTTTTTTAGGGGGGAGGGATTGGTTATTTATATTTTATTTTGATTTGTTTTATTACTGGTCTATAACTGGATAAGACTTTGCCATTGCAGTTTTGCATATCCATGATTGCTAAATAGAGATCAGGATATGGTATATACATAATGGTCCTATATGCAGTTTTGGTCTTGTTTTTTTTTTTTTAACGTAACGTGTGCAAAATGGTCAATCATTTTGCACACATTCTTGTAATACATGTTACATTTAAAATGTTTATATCAAATTTACATGTATGGTAATTTTTTTAAAGGATATAAGTAGATCATCTGGGCAGTGTACTTCCTAGTTACTGTAGGTTTTGGTGGATCAGCCTGGTTGTGAGGCTTCAAATGGATTTTCTGTGGCAACAGACCTTCTTCTTTGCAGTGATTTACTCCGCTGATGATGGTGGTAGTATCTCAGTTGCATCATGTGACTCATACTTGGTTTCTTTGCATTGTGTGGCTCTTTCATAATCTTGAGAGAGTATCCTCTTGATTGTGCTGGTGCAGATCATCATAGTTTTGTAACGCATGGCCACTAGAGTTTGCTGTGAGCTGTGAAACTGACTCTTTTGTGATCTTGCTGGATGGGTCTTTCACGAGTGAAGCAACTGCACAGTACTCATGTCTAGCTGCGTCATCAAGAAGGCCCTCCACTGAGATCACAAGGGTTGCACATAGCAGAAAAGCCTGTGCAAGTCACAGGAGACAACTGTAGCTACTTCTTCCATTATCAGTCAAGCAAGTTCTCTAAAGAAGGAGGCCAGCTTACTAGGGAAGTCATGTGGAGCCTTACAAGACATTTGACTCAGTCAGATCTGCCAAGAGGTATACTGTGCAGATGACATCAGTGGAAGGACAAGACCAGACATGCTGTATGGAAGGAAAATGACAACTAAAGGCTTTGGAATCTAACCCTTCAGTTCCCATGATTCAAGTTCTTGTTATTCACAGTTTTGTGGTTCTCATTTTAATGTTAAAATCAAACATCTTCCCCCAAATAATGGGGGGCCTCTGTTGATGCTATATATACTGTAATACTAAGTACAAACATTTCCTGGTTACAATTTTTTTCTTGCAAATTCATTGGATACCCATTGTCATTCACAACTAAGTCATGATAACCTATCACTGAGTTCATCTATCTGTCTAGGTACCCAAGGAAACTTCACTAAATCTTCAGATGCCTTTGCTTTTGAAGAAGATAGCAGCAATGATGGGATGTCCCCAGAGCAAGTTAAAAGTGAGGATTCTCAGGGGTCTACAGAATTAGCAGCAAGAATCAAAATATCTGAAGCAACATTTCCTTCAGTGTCTGGAACAACGCAGGTATAATAATATTTGGTGCGGGTGTTTCAAGTCTCATCTCCTATTAAACAACAGATTATTTTTTAAAAAAACCTTTCAGGAGTGTTATTCTTAGATTGGTGTGAAAGCAAAAAACTATGGGGACTGGTTGAAAAAATGAGGTTTGAAGGTTTGGTAATAGTTAACCTTTGACTTAGAGAGATTTCATAGCTTAGAGCAGGTGTCTTCAAACTAGGCCCATTTATGACTTGTGGACTTCAACTCCCAGAATTCCTCAGCCAGACACACTGGCTGAGGAATTCTGGGAGTTGAAGTCCACAAGTCATAAAAGGACCAAGTTTGAAGACCCCCGGCTTAGAACCTGTTTTGAAGTGTACCTCAAGAATGTATCATGCCTTTTTAAATAAAGTCATTCTTTGTAAGCATCTTTGGCCCCAGCGGTCTTATGTGAGAAAAAAAAAATTCCCTCTCACCCTCAGAGACAGTTGAGGTAAAACAGGGGAAAATCTTGAAGGGCAGTTTTAAACAAAAACTCTGGGATGTGGAGTCCAACCCAAAGTCCAACCATCAAAGGATTTTTGCTATTGTCTATAAGATGGGTGGATATATTTTAACAAGTATTCTAGGACACAAATGTAGCTTGGAAAATGATGGGAATTCTTTCCAAATTTGAGGAAAATAACTGGATCCTATCGGGCTTAGCAAAAAATGAACCTGGAATTGTTTGACCCAATCTGTAGACAGCTTTGTACACTGCAGTAGTGCTGTTGACCTGGAACATTCTAAGCTTTGACAGTATAATGCAGTGGTTCTCAACCTGTGGGTCGGGACCCCATTTGGGGTCGATCGACCATTTCATGGGGGTCACCAAGCAAGGCTGTCCGCCATTTTTTTTGTCCGCCATTTTTTTGTCTGCCATTTCCCCCCCCTTTTCCGGTGGGTGCCTTACCTCCCTTGGGCTGGGCCAGCTGGTGGTCGGCCTGCTCCGTCTCTGCCGCTTGCCAGCTACGCCTCGACCGGCGCAGGGGGCGGAACCACACATGCGCGGCGTTCCCGGGCAGGGAAAGTCCTCGACTTACAACCGGTTGGGTAGTCCTCGACTTATGACCGGTTTAGTCCTCGACTTACGACTGGTTTAGTCCTCGACTTACGACCGGTTGGGGTCGTGGCATTAAAAAGGTTGAGAACCACTGGTATAATGAGTTTAGAGTGATTTCACTTTTCCTTTCTCTGTGATGACAGAGCCTTCAGATGACTGGTTTGCCACATAGTAAGAACCACAGTGCAGAAGAGGCTGAGTTAGTAGTGCATGGTTATTAGATTTCCATTACACTTTCCTGAGTTTCCTGTATCTCTTCTCTTTAAAACCATGGTAATGATTTATCACCATATTACTATGGTCATCATGCTAATTTCATTCTTTGGTTATTTATTATGTATTTTAATATGCAAGGTGTGCAAGCAGAAGACAATATTTCTCCCTCTCCAGTTTAGTGTGAGGAAAAACTGTACTTGTAGCTCCAACTTTCTATTTTCTCTGGGTTAGAGACAGCCTAAAAGCCTCAAATTAAATAAAATCAGTTTTGTTCAGAAGAAGGAATTCCATGAAGTGGCTATAAAGTATGTAACAGTTGCAAGCTAGACTTTTAGGTTGACTTCTATAAATTTGCTTTGCTCTAATATTGGTAGAATATACAGGTTCTAGTATGCACTTGGTCAAATAATCATTTTTAATGTTTGAATTTTAGCTGTATTGAGTTTGTGTTTAGCTAAGTAGCTAACTCATTTTATGCAACATGAGTTATCATGGATTACATGTCAGAATGATTATTAGTTGTACTTGCTGACTAAAATTGAACTGATGTGACAAAGCTATTCTTAGATACTTTATTAGATATTTTATCACCTACTGCAGGATAGACTGCAGAGAGTTATGAATATTATGTTCAATCACACCATGGTTTGGAATTTGTCTTGCTTAGTAGTGGGAGAACCAAAATTTCATTCAATTTACCATCTCATTGAAAGAACTAATTAGATTGTATAATCTATTGCTTCTTCTTATATGAAAAGTTGTGTTGCCCATTTTTCTGAATTACTGGCCCATCATCTCAAATTATTCTATAGCTGATGGCCTTTGCTGGCAGTCTTGGATGATCTCAAAAAGCTAAGGAAAGATCTGGTTAATATTCAAATGGGATTCCATATGCGGACGTCAGGGATGTTGATGACTAGGAAATGGAAAAACATCCTGGAAAAAGTCAGTGGCAAACTATTTCCATATTGCTGCTAGGAAAACCACATAGAAATGTCCATGAAGTCACCAAGAGTAGAGCTTAACATAAAGGAGATCTTATCTTCATTTGGGACAGTGCACAGTAAATATCTGTATTCCCTTCATCAGTACTCTGGGGAATAAGATACTGTATTTCTCATCAGCCCCATTGCTATATATTTTCGTAATTTGCCTTCATTCTAAAATAGCATTCAGAATTAGCTAATTGATTCTAACCATGAGAAGAGGAATAATTTGTTCTTACTCGGGCAAATACAATCAAGATATGGGTGTAAAGGTGCAATACATGTTAAAATTCTCCAAAATCCTCCAAGCCTGTGGAGGAAGTCATCCATAAGGTCAGCATTTGGTGATTATATAAAACATGGGGGTGTCCTGCAAAGGATCCCAAGCCACTGTTAACCTGAACACGACATATTCTTGGCTAATGCTGCTCTTCTTCATTCCAACAGCTTTGTTACACAGTGTACTTGGCATGGGGCATCTCCATTTTCCAAGCACTTATGGCAGGGAGCCCAATGATCATCCATTTGGTTTCCTAACAACACCAGCCTGATAAATGTGATTGGTCTTATTATACAAATACACTTATAGGAATAGTTTAACAGGCCATCCAAAGTCATCTGCAAAAAGTATTGATTATGGTGAAAATCCCCAAAATATTGTTTGTACATACACTTGCACATGTGAATCACTTAGCAGCCTGGATTTGCTTAACCATATGCAAGCTAAAAGATTGTCAGACTTCCACAGTATACCTCATCACTCTCACAGGTTGTCGTGCATATCTACATAAACTTCAGACCACTTTACTTATAGTTTAATTTTGATCCAAGACGGCTTTTGCCATGACTCACCATGAGGATTTTCCTAATAGTACAGAGAGTTTCTAAAATAATACATAATCCATGTGATATGCTGCATGGAGAATTACCAAATAAAAGTGTCCTCTCAAGGAAGTAAGATTCAGCCTACACATGTAAGATTCGAGCTGCTAGGTATAATGGTTAAACATGGATGGTTTAATCAAGTCCCTTATAGTGAACATATTTGTATTTGCAGAACTCCAGCTATAGAAGATATAACACACGTATTATTTGAGTATCAACTATATAAGAAAGAGAGAGACTGGCATCTTGGACCTCATATCAGACAAACAAACTATTGGGACCCTCATATTAGAACTACATATTTCATGTGTGGGCAGAACTGAAAAAAATCACATACAACACAGCACTTTATCTGAATAAAACAGTTTAGTTGGGATATATATATGTGGGTCTGATTGGGGTAATTTGTAGAGATGACTCAGTAACCTAATATTTTATTTCTCAGTTTATCCTTTTTATTTAATCTGTTTCTCTTATCCCACTTTTATATATGGTTCTGTTGTGTCATGTATTATGTTTTATTCTGTATTTGGATATGTCCTATGTCAGTGGTGGCGAACCTATGGCACGGGTGCCAGAGGCCGCACTCAGAGCCCTCTCTGTGGGCATGTGCGCCGTCGCCCCAGTCCTAGGCCTTCAGCTGGGTTTTATAAAACCTTTTCGCTTTAGGCCTCCGCCGTGTGCAAAAAAACCCAAAAACATTCAGTCAATCAGTCAATTTCAACTTCTCACTGGAAAAAAAAGATCTTGCAAAGTTGGAATTGATTGATTGAACTTTTTAGTCCCACCCAGTCTGCCGTTACCACCGCAGCCACACCCAGCCAATGGGCCACACCCAGCCAATGAGCCACACCCAGCCAATGGGCCACACCCACCCGGCACCCGACGATGCATAAGTGGGTTTTGGGTTGCAGTTTGGGCACTCGGTCTCTAAAAGGTTTGCCATAACTGTCCTATGTGCTAATAAGCAACAACAAATTGCTGCTTAATGGAACAAAGGCAAAGTAATCAGCCGTCAATCCAACTAGCGTAGCTCATTTATATATGCCTTCATAAATTGCCTGCCTGCACTAATCTTCATGAAACTATCTTCATGAAGTTATCTGCATTGATGGCATAATTGTCACATGTATTTTCAATAGGGGTTTTTTTTTTTGGGTTTACAGGGTCATTCCCATAGTTCTGAAAATGATATGACTGATTCATCATCTCTGCAAAATAGCCAGCCAGAGAGTCCAAAACAGCTCAATGGGCAGCAGACACCTCCTATTCCTATTACTACATCTGTAAAGGTATGTTACTATCTTTCATCATTTAGGCAAACGTGTTGACCAACTAAACCATAACCATGGTTTCTCTGAAAGACAAATGCTGGTTTAAAAGGAAATGGAATATTTCTGAATTACAGCACACAAATATGGGTACTAAGGCAATTTTAATTAATTGGAGTAATTAAGTGGAGTAATTAATCAGAAAGGCAGGGATGGCAGTTAGTGTTCTATAGATGCATCCTTTTTGCCCTGCTCTCATTTATGAAGCTGACGGATTTAAGTTAGGAAGCCCAAATTTAGCTATTTAAGTGTACTTTGATTTTTAAATATTATACTAAACACCTGCACCAAAATGCAAGGGTCCTTTGCCATTTTGAATGGGATTATTTCCCATGTCTTCTTAAATGGCAGCAGGTAGAAAATCAGGATATTTGAAAGGAATGTGCACCTAATACCATGTGAGCATGGTCCTCAAAACTGATGCCAGTTGTTTTATGCTCTGAACTGCATATAAAAGGAGGAAAAGTGACTTTTGTCTTCTTATATTTTTCACCCATCATTTTGAAGCTCAAAGGCTTTTGAGGGTACTGAACATCAGTGGCAGTCCTCCAGAGAATTCAGACTTAGCAAGATATGGGTTAATTAGATAGGCCAGTCAAAAGCTTTGGGTTTTCTAACTGACCTTCCTGATATTTTTTGCGTGGAACACACAGTCAAAATCCTCAAGTGATGGCAAGAATCGCCATAAAAAACCTAAGGAGATGAAGCCCAAAGTGAAGAAGCTAAAGTATCACCAATACATTCCACCAGACCAGAAGGCAGAGAAGTCTCCTCCTCCCATGGACTCTGCCTATGCCAGGCTACTGCAACAACAACAGCTCTTCTTGCAGCTCCAGATCCTTAGTCAACAACAGCAGCATCGGCACCAGCAGCAGTTCAATTATCCTGGGTCACATTCCTCTCAGCTAAAGTGAGTAGCTGGTGGAAATGTTTTCTGTCTTCCTAGGTGACCATTTGTAACAGAGCTATGCCACCATTTGACGGTGTGGCTGATTAGACTTTATTAGACTTGCATGCAATAGTGGGATTCAAATATGTGAACAACCGGTTCTCTGAGTGGATGCCACTTCCGGAAGTCCATTCTGGGCCTGGGCAACAAAAAAATTAGCTACCAGTTCTGCTGAAGTGGTGTGAACTGGCTGAATCCCACCACTGCTTGCATGTTTCAAATATTCCTACTAAGTCCGCTGGGTGTGCAGCTTGCACACTGGAAAGGATGAAGGATCAATATATATATATCCAGTAGGTTTGGGTGCCCTTGCTACAGGATATGAGAAGGGTTTGGGGCTTCAGACTTGAGCTGCTAAACTAGGAATTCTTCTCTAATTTCAACACCTTGAAATAATCCTTTTAAGGCAGGGGTGTCAAACTCAATTTCACTGAGGGCCGCATCAGCATTGCGGTTGCCCTTGGGGGGCCGGGTGGGTGTGGTCAGAGTGGGTGCAGCCTACTGGGTGGGCGTGGATGGGGTGGGTGTGGCCTACTGGGTGGGCATGGCCAGTTCTACATCATTCGCATCAAGGGTGCCTGTGGGGGCCTGGGCAGGAGTGGGACAGATCTGAGGGTCTCTGGCAGAATGGGGTGGGACTGGGGCAAGTACCAAGGCATGGTCCACTGGGGCAAGTGCCAAGATGGCCACCACAAAATTGTACATTGGCTCCCAGCTGGCCTGGGCCAGGGCCAAGGCAACGGGGGCCATTCCCTCACTGTTTCCAGGATGGCTTCACGGGCCACATGAAACCACTTCGCGGGCCGCATCTGGCCCCTGGACCTTGTGTTTGACATGTCTGTTTTAAGGTGAGCACTATAAGCCAGTTCTGGGACAAATCATCTCTCGGTTTGAAATTCTGCTAAAGTACTACTATTTTGTACTGAAATCGCAGAAAAATGATAGTGAATGAATAATAAAACTAGGATCAAAACTGGTACATTGGCGATGATTTAGAAACAAAAGAAGAAGTCACAGTAACAAACTTTGCTCCTGTTTTTTTTAGACAACCAAATGAGCCTAAAATCTCAGGCTCTTCCCCTACGACAATCACCAATAATCCTCTTTCTCCAGTGAAGGGAACCTTTTCTGGGCCAACTTGCATTTCATCCCTCAAACCAGGTCCTCTTCCATCCAATCTGGATGACCTTAAAGTGAGTATTATGTGCAGAGTAAGGTGTAACAATGTTAGAAGGCATGGCAAGTTATAGAAGGTTTAATCATGGTTTATTGAATCAATTGCAATAGCCCATGTTTGCCAAAGGCTAAACCAGAAGCTGCAACTTACTGTATATACCAGAGTGCTAAATCACAGCCAATAAACATAATCTACACCACACCCACACCCCAACACATACCCAAGGACATGTTGCTCATATGGGGCAAAATGGCAATAAAAGTTTTTTTTAAAGGGTATTAGAAGGTTTAAAAAAACCTTTAGCCCCAGTGACCGACCAGATTGGATCCTGCAACATTATCCTGGGACACATATATTTGTCTTCATTCGTGTTAGAAAGGCTCTTTCCACTTCAAAGGCAATCTCCAAAATTATCATATAGGGAATCAATTTCAGTCCTTCAGGGGGATTCCCCCCACTCTGGTTTTTAATATGTAGAAGTGGATACTGGAAGCTTCTGAAAATCAGCCCATTTCTTTCTCACCCTTCAAACCTTCAGATGCAGGTGTTGAGCTATTGTGGTGTGCATTATATGTTTAAAGTGGAATTGGGGTTGTTTTGATTGTTCTCGGTGGCGTTTTTCCATCCTAAAAATCCCCAAAAGAGGGACAAACATATTCACTGTCACTCCATTGAGATTACCTTCTGAGGATCTTGGAAAAGGGAGAAAGCTGAATTGAGGTCCCCTTAATTGTAACACACTGCACATTACATTACATTACATTACATTACATTACATTACATTACATTGAATATCACATTACAGCTTGATGCATTATGTAAGCCCAGTCTTGCAAATGTGTTGTTTGCTAACCCTAGCAATTTAACCACTGTGAAAAAGTCTTCCTGAGTAGTGCAACACTTAATTAAAACCTCTGTTATTTTTAAAATTAAAATTGCAGCACTTTAACATACAATATTTGGGAAATTGTGATTTTGTGTGTAATCTAAGATTGGTGACAATTAAGATGTGGATTTGAAGAGGAAAAGGTGATTTGGCATACATATACCAAATTACCTTTTGATCACATGTAAGCAACTACTTAAAGATACCGTATCTTTTCCGGAGCTTATTTGGGACTCCTGGAAAAGATGCACCTGATTTTGACTCTGGATCTTAGAATCAATGAAATCTGAATTCTGGCCATCTCAGCTAAACCACCATGACTTCTTTGATCCCCACTCTGATTTTCTTTTACATAAATTGGTTGATCTATATCTAAAAACTCTGCATTAGAATCATCTTGACATATATGAATAACACAGGCTGAATTTAGACAAAAATCTGAAAGACAAAGGCATTCATTCTTAATTCAGACTCATCACTGTAAACTATGATTTGATTATTCCAAATAATCCCAGGGTTATAGAAATCTATTAGAAATGACAATGTTGTATAAGGTACCCCAATTTAGAGTTAACAGTTAATAGCAGTCTCCATGATAATAAGATCTCTTTGTCAGAACAAATGATTCTGAAATTAGCTTTTGTTTGGGTAAAACAGTTTGATTAAAATACGTTTCTTTTTCAACAATAAACATGCAATACATTAAAAAATGAGGTTGATACTAATTACATTTTATCACAGGTGTCAGAATTAAGACAGCAACTCCGAATAAGGGGACTTCCTGTGTCAGGTACAAAAACAGCCTTGATGGAACGTCTTAGACCCTTTCAAGAGTGCAGTGGAAATTCCGTGGCTTCTTTCAATGAAATAACCACTGTCACTTTCCCAGTAACTCCAACAAGTTCTCTCTCCAGTTATCCGTCACAGTCTTCTACCAGTCTGTTATCCAATGGCTTTTACCATTTTGGCAGCACTAGTTCCACTCCACCCATCTCTCCAGCGTCCTCTGACCTTTCAGTGAATGGCTCCTTGCCAGACAGTTTCAATGAAGGACCAATGTCATCCCCACAGTTTGTCTTGCACCCGTCACCTGTGCAAGGTGGTTGTGAGGAGAGCCTGGTGGGAAGTATCAACGGAGCTGGCATCCAGCACGATGTTGAAAGGGTTGACACAGAGAAAGACAAAATGCTGGTGGAAAAGCAAAAGGTAATCAATGAGCTGACTTGGAAATTGCAGCAGGAACAGAGGCAAGTGGAAGAGCTGAGAATGCAGCTCCAGAAGCGCAAAAGAAGCCATGGACTGGAAGATAAGCAGCCCCCAGCACGGGTGTTTGGTTTTCCAGTCAAGCAGGAGAATGTAGTGTCCAGCTGCCCATTTGCCTCTAAGCAAGCTGCCTTGAAAGGTAAGGCTAGCAATTCTGAGGCATTAAGTAACTGTGGGACACCTCAGATGCCTCATCTTGTAAATAGCCATTGCATGGAACCTTCTGGACAAAATGGCATACTGTCCTCTACATTCCTAAGCCCACAGTGCTCTCCTCAGCATTCTCCACTAGAGGCAGCGAAGAGTCCTCAACATATCAGCCTTCCACCTTCACCAAACAGCCATTATCTTCTCTCCATGTCTCCTAGCCATCAGGGAGACGGACGCAGCAGTTCTCCACAACCTAGCCGCCATTTGTGCACATCTCTGGTAAGAAAATACATATATTTTGCTCTTGTAATTTACTCATTGGCCTTAAAATAGTCAGTACAAGCAATCCAGTAATAAGAGTCATATTTTAAAAGGACTGAGCAGGAAGTATTTTTGGAGGAAGAGTCAGGGAACCATAACCACCATCACTATTTCCAGTGACGTTAGATGTAAAGAAACAGCTGCTTAGATATACTTATAATACTTGGACAACTGTATACAAAACCTCTCAAAATAGGCAGATCCCAGGTTGTTTGGGGCTTTAAAATATAAACATGACACTTTGAGTTCAGTCTGAAAATAAATTGGCAGTTAGTGCAGATATTTTTAAACTGGTGAGATGGATTCCAGGCATTGTTTCAGCACTGAACAGAACCTCCATTTTTGAATGTCTTCCTTGGATCATTTGAAAAGGGAGTTGGTTTTTTGGGTTATGTGAGGGTGACATCTAAGCAAAGTTTTCTTTGCATCACTTCAGTAAGACTGTATCAGCGTGGAAAAAGTATTTTTGGCAAGATCTGGGTTCATTTTTTCCCCTCCCTTGCGGTTGCCTTAAGCTATGATTGACACCAATATGTAAGAAGTTTTAGCTTAGGGGCCTTAAGATGCGGCTGCCAAGGAACAGAGATTTGATTGGATTCCTACAATTGATTTTGCTTCCACATAGGTGCCGACACAAGGGGGCCCAAAGTATTCCATTCTGTCTGCCAGCTTTTGTAAGTCCAGTGCTTCTCTCCCAGAGGGAAAACAGCCTCCACCTTATGCTGATGCTGTAAAACAGGTAATGGTCCAGGAGGGTATTTTTAGGGCTGTGCTTGGCTACAGATGGTTTTTACTATTGTACCGTTTTATCACAAAACACAATCTGTTGCAAGGATTCTTAACCTTTTTAAGAGTCTGGTCTTTAAATAAAGGAGTCCTTTTATTTTGAATGCATAAAATAAACAGATTTACTGTGTAATGTAAAGGAAACCAATTATGCTCAAATACAGCTATCAAAATATTAAATATGTAATACAGCAATATATGTTCTTTTTATTGATCCGTTAAATTAATAACACAATACTCTTTTTTAGTTTTAATAATTTTAGCTAGTGAGATTTCTTGACATTAACAAATTTTATTGGCATCTAGAGATCACAGATTATTTTGTTGTTTATGTAGAATAGGGGTAGTCAACCTTGGCTCTTTTATGACTCGTGGACTTCAACTCCCAGAATTCCTGAGCCAGCTGTGCTGGCTCAGGAATTCTGGGACTTGAAGTCCACGAGTCATAAAAGAGCCAAGGTTGACTACCCCTGATGTAGAAGCTAGTAAAAATATTCAGGGTAACAGACACCCTGAAATCTAACCATGGACTCCAAGGAATCCACAAATCCCAGATTAAAAACACCTGATCTAAGTGGCCGAGAGGAAGAAAAAAAATCAATGACAAACCTGAAAGATCTGAGACACAAGCTCAAGTTGAGCATTGAGTCTGAGCTAGCAGGAAAGGTGATTCTTCCTTGGGAGTTACAGTATTATTAGCTTTAATTTATTTGGTCAATGAAGTACAGACAATTGGGCTCATTCCTTTGCAGTTCTTCAAGGCTTCTTATTTCATTTAACTTCCAGACCCCTGGCTCTACAGTAATGCTGGGATCTAGTTATCTAGCTGATATTGGTACAGCTTGTCATAGTGTGACATTGCAATTTAAGAATTAAAATAAAATACAAACAAAGGAATTAAGCCAACTTTTTTTATTAGCGGTGAAATAGCACTAGATTACATTCACTTGAGTCATGTAGACTCCTTCCTTCCTTCCTCCCTCCCTCCCTCCCTCACCCACACACTCACAGAGAGGTTACAACCCAAATGAGTAAAAACTGTAAATCTGCTGGAATTATTTTTTAGAATATATGATAAGGCTGTATTGGCATGTAGAAAGAATAAACCATAATCTGCCACACTTGTCCAATGCGGGTTGGCAGATGTGATTGGTGTTACTCTGGGGTATCCATCAAGGCCTGTTCACCTTGGGAGACCCTTCTGGGCACATACATGTCCAACAACTTAGCCCACAATTTCATTTACCCACACAAGCCATTTCACCTCACCAAGGCCCTAATCATCGAAGGGCCCAATTGGCAAAAGAAAGCTCCGGACCATATAGGTTGGAAACATGTGGAAGAGGCCTTCATCCTGCAGTGGATAGACAATGGCTAAAATGATGATGAAATATGATAAGGATGAGGTTGAATATCCCAGTGAATCCTGGGACGGGTTCTCATTCTTGTCTAATGTTTGAAAAATGGGACATTAAATAATGCACTTTAGGACATATTAACCCCTGGGTCACATGGGCAATATATTATTAACATTTTAACATTCATAGAGTTGGTTGAGGGTTGTAGGAAAAGTGAGACCTAGTCATACAAAATGATTCCCCTGGTGTTTCCTATTTTTTAACCCTTTCAGGGTTCATATTACATTGTTCATGTGGTCCCCGAGTCAAAATGATGCTGCTAGTTTTTAGCAGTTATGGTCAGTTCTGACGCCAAGACCTGCAAAGGGGGGCACAGGGAACCACTTACAGCTTTGGGAGGCACAGATTGCTCATCCGTGCATTTTGTGCACTAAAACCTTCTGGTATTTGTGGAGAATTAGCTGGTTACATCAGATTTTTAATGCCAGCAAAAACACTACAGAGCTATGATATCTCAATTCCTTAAGAGTGATTTCTTGTACAATAAAAATATGTAATCCATTTCCTCACTTCCCAATTTCTTCTGCTTCTTTTCTTGCTGCAGCAAATGACTCAAAGTCAGCAGATGGATGAACTACTAGATGTGCTTATTGAAACTGGAGGTAGGTGATGCCAGTAGAATGAGGCTCTTGGTTCTAACCTAGCAAAACAGGATATAAACTACAGGCTACCCACAGCCAATATTCTGTGCTTGTCAGGTGTGGTAGGGGGACTGAAATTCATCGTGGGTTCCATCCACTTCCCAAAGCAATATGTAAATAGCTGTTGCTTAGTTAATTATCCTAAGTAGTACTCAATCTAAGCACTCCCAGGTTCTGCCTACTAGCGCAGCCATTGACCACTATAGAAAACTGCTAGGTTTTGTCACATTTATATGAAGTGATTATTTAAGAAGAAAGAAGCAATTCTGGAAGTTTAGCTATTTTTTAGCAACTCCCAGGAATTGGTCACAGAAACTGTTGTGGTTTATCTTGTCAACTTGTATCTCGACTTTCCAAGATTGAAGAAAGGGATTTGAAACCAGTGACAACCAAAACATCATTAGAAATACAAACACATTCAACAATAGTACAAATATTGAGAATTTGTATGCAAGAATAAAAATAATGCTGAATAAAATCAGGCAAGAAACCTAACTGTAGGTAAGAGCTGGCACTTTGTAGATCAAGAGATAAAGGGCAAAGGAAGCCACCAAGCTCTCTGAAAATCACATTGGCATGGTCATGCCCATGGGCACCCATGTGTCTTCTGTTCCTAGAATACCTGTTTTTTCAAAAGAATTATTTAAAAAACTGAAAGAAGTAGGCAAGATCTATAGACATTTTTTTAAAAAATAGGTGGGTGACTGCTGCTCAGTGCTTTGCTTGAAAGTATGCCCCAAAGGAAAACACAGAGCCAAAAAAGGCATTGTGGATGGGACCATCTTGTGGGGAACACTGGAAGCATTTCCTTCTGTTTGCCTTCTGTTGTGAGCACTTTGTGGTGTGAATATGTAAGCCTCTCTCTCAGCCTCGAGAGAGAACCACAAAATACTAGACTCCACAATCAAACCTTTGCAAATGTTTTTCCTCACTAGCTTCTGTCTGCTCCAGTGAATCACGTACACAACTTTAATGCCTTCACACCTAATTTAAATGTTTTAACAATTTCTTACCCTCTGCATGCTCACGCATGTGTACACATATCTGAATGATCAGTCCTTATTCTAATAATTCTTTACATCAGCTTTTTCGTTGATTCTAGGCAGGCATTACAAACACCACTTATAACAACTTTGTCTTGTATTAACACAGCTTCATCACTACTTTCAATTGCAGGCATTTTATATGATCTCCATGTTCCTCTCACCATCCCTTCTGTACCTATTTGAGCTAGTATAGCATCAAGTAAGGTTTTATTCAGCCAGAACAAATATTGGAATGTGTCATTGCAATGGCAGATGCTGTTGGGAAGTCCTGTTACACAAGCAGAAGTATATTCACTTAACAATGGAAGTAGACACAAAGTGGTTTGCTCTTGACTTATCATGTTTGATTTGCAAACAGAAATGCCTGCAAATGCTAAAGAGGACCGCCCTTGTCTTCAGAAGGTACCTCAGATAACAGTGTCTTCGGGGACTTCTGGAACACCCTTGTTACTAAAGGCATCCACTTCATTTGAGCAAAACACCTCAAATCAGCTCTCCTTTGAACGCTGCTCTAGCAATGAGAGTCATTTGGAAATCTTGTTAAATTCCCACAGTCCTCTCAGGCGGTCAAGTGAAGTCACCCTTCTGAAATTGGGTACTGAGGAACCTCACTTTGATGGAGCAATGGAAGGATTTTCTAGCAAGGCTGCTGATGAATTAGTTTCACCCCATGAGATCCTGCCAACTCCCCTCTCGCCCATGGAGACTCAGTTGTCTCCCTCATCTGGTGAAGGACCTGGTTTGCACATGAGCTTCACAGAGTCTCCCTGGGAAACAATGGAATGGCTGGACCTCACACCACCAAGCTCAGCCAATGGTTTTGGTTCCCTTACCACTACAGGGCCCAGCATCTTCAACATTGATTTTTTAGATGTTACTGATCTCAACTTGAATGGCACTATGGACCTGCACTTACAACAGTGGTGATGAAAGTAAAGCTTAAGAATGGAGAGGAAACCTACCACAAGTACTTTCCATGGAAAGAATTAAAAGACTATTTCAGAATGCTCTGGAATAATCCAGAGAGAGCAAAAAGAACTGGAGTCATTTTCCCCAGGACATAATTTATCTTTGCATCATCAATGGATTCAACCAAATGACTATTTCCTTTCCCTGCTACACTCAAAATAAAGAATCCTTCATTTCTAACACAAATTCCTCCTTACCCTTTGTAAGCAAATCCAATTGCTCATCATCAATTCCAACCTCTTCCAGGAGAGTTTCTATGCAAGACAACTGTACATTGCCCAAACTTGTCAGTATTAATCCTAACAGGTTTATCAAACTATATGACTCTCTTATGGGCATATTTGTAGATCCAATATACTGCTCCTTGGGAATCCTTGCTCTTCATGCTTATCATATATATATGAACAGTTTTACTGGGGATTCCCACCCCCCACTCTTTTTCAAGTCACCTTGCTCAGATGCTTCAACAGATCATCAACCTTTTACTATCAATTTTCAAAACTGAAATAATCTTCCAGTGTTTCCTTGAATATTTCTCCCTCTTTAAGTTTATTTATTCCTCTTGTTTTCTCAGTTTTAAAGATACATGCAGCAGACCTGAAGTAATATGACTTATTCTGTAGTGGGCACTCTCCTTGGAAAAGATTTCAAAATGGAACAAGAAAATGTAGAAATAAGAGGTCTTTAATTGAGAGTAATTGGAGGAGAGCCTCCATGGCCCCATCAATGTTCTGCTTTAAAGGTACATTCCTCCTTTAATAAGTACTTGTCTCATTTTTTAATTTTTTTATTAAATTAAAATGTAAACATATATATATGTATATAATTTGAGATACATAAAAATTATAACAGATCAGTATGTAACTAATATTAATCCATCATTCAAAATCTTTGAAACATTTGACATTTTGAACATAAATTTTGTCCGTGACCAATAATTAGAAATACCAAATATCCATATCATCAAGAATAAATTCACCATAAGCAATAGAGTCTTCGCCATTTATAAGATACAGAAGACGGGGAAGATAAAACCTTTGAATTCAGAAATCTCTATTCTTCTTCAGATCTATTTTTATTGGGTTGCCATGTCTTTATGAATGTATCAAATAGCTTTATTCAGTAAGTCCCAATGTTTTGTTGTATTGTCCTCTTGCTTCAATCTCTTTTCTTTTGAATTATTTGCATATATTATTTTTGCTGCCATTATGGGGCAAAACAACAACCATATCCTAGCCTTTTGGTACCACAGCTCCTTAAAGCACAGGAATTGAAAGTAAAATTAGAAGAAAAGCTGTCTTAATTTAAGACCAGAAATTGCTTGGTGTGGAACAGTACAATTTCTGTCTCAGCTATTACATTTTGTTGTTGCTCTTGTTTTCTCATTTTAATTCATTTTTCCCTGAGAGGTCTTAAGCTGAGATGTGTTCTGTATAAGTGGAAAAGCAGTCTTGCTGAATTTCTTTGATTTTTTCGCTTTACTGCAACTTCCCATGTTTCATATCTGTTGTCATTCTAGAGGATCCATCAACCCTCAAAAATGCATCTCTGTGGGTTAATATCAAGTAAGGGAATAAAATCAGGAAAGCAGCAGTCTGCAAGTAAAGTTCCTTTTGGTTTTATCTGGATCCAAACCCATTGTATTAATACTACATTCATTTCTGAGTTTTCTAAGAGAATAATCTTCCTGCTTTCAGGATGATTTAATAGTGGATTGTCCACATCTTCAGAAATCTTGATAGCTAGTTTTGGAAAGAGATGACTGAAGCTGTGTTTTTACTTTTCACTAATTAATACAAACAACTCCAAAAACTCCTTTCAATAAACAAATTGTTTTCCCATGACTAGTGAAAGGCATTACTTCGAAGTTCTTCTTCAACCCAGACTTAATATTATGAATTATAAATCTTATCATACCTAGCCATGACAGGCAAAAGTTGCAGGTTATTCATATTTAGCAAATTCTGAATTAATGGTAATATGTAGCATATAAATTGGATTAAGATCCAAATCTTTAGATAATACAGCCTCACTTTGTGTATATGTGTAGGTTCTGATGCTTTGGGTCCAGAGGATTCCAACCTGCCCTCTGTCCCATCCCATATTCCTGTCCTGCCTGACATCTTCAAAGTAGCCATTCTTCCAGTACAGACTGTCTTACTTTATAGCATTTCTCTATCCTGAATCACCAGAAATCAGTCAATAATAAATAAAATGTCTCATTACTGCTATTTTTCCAATATGGCTGTGCTATAAAAAAATGTAACTGATTTGAACAATGGCAACCCCTGATAAGCTATAACTTGTTTTGATATTTATCCATTTCTTTTTCATTTTAATCCCCTTTTATTTTAAGAGAGTATGAAAGTGGGAAGGGGGGAAACTTGACTGGAAAAAAACTGTTTTAATGTTGCTTCTGTCTTGCTTAGACTTAAGTGAAAATAATTTAGTTTAGATAATGTTCCATTCATAGCCTATAATATGACAACCTCATGCCTACATTTCAGTATTTCTTCCAAAGAATGATCTGTGTTATATGCTTTGTGAAACAACATCAAAAACTATTTTTAATCTAATCTCTATCTCTAGATTACATTTAATAACTTTCAATAATAGCTCCAAATATAAATTCAGTTTGGAGGATAAAGACAGCTTTTTGTCATGTGCCAATCCAAATCGGGCAGTTTCTCATTAATGAAAAGTTTATCTTCCATTATTTGCTTAAATTCTTGTTTTTGTTAATGCAAAAATATTGAATGCAAATTTCCCTGCATTCAATATTTTGTAGGTTTGTTCTCAGAACTTTTTCATAATTATCCATGTCAGTTGAGAACTGGAAAAAAATGTTAACACATCTCTAGGATTTAATAATTTGGAATATGGGCATCCTGCATTTTTATAAACAAATCATCCAGAAGACATATCTTTCAGAATTAACCTTAAAACAAGTTGCAATTTGTCTGATCATTTTTCTCTATAAATATCATCTCTCACTAGGACTTCACTCTATTTCAGTTATGCTTATTCTCTTGTAAATGGATATTAGCCATTAAGCTATTATGTCATTTAAGTCTACACTTGCTTTTTCAAACCAATACATCAGCTGTGGAAAGTCATTCTTCAGTATTTTTCCTGAAACGTTTAAAAATCAGGTTAATTTGATTTTTTATTCCAAAAAGGGGAGTCTTGCTAATTCACCATCCCTTGAAATTTAAAGCATGCATCGTAGAATATGTTGTACAGTCTTAACAGTCCCATTTTCATTATTTAAAGAATTTTTACTCACCATCTTAGCTGTCTGCCAAACATACTTTTTCTTTCTTTCTTTTTCTATTTAATTAAAAAAGTGGCCAAACTATTACTGTTTTCCTGCAAAAGACTAAAATGTCTTTGGTAATGGCATTTCCTTTAACAATTTGGTACTAAATATATCTTGTTAACTTAAATGTTTTAATTTAACTATTAATTCATAAATAAAAAACAAATGTATACATAGGCAATGATGGGTAATATATGGAAGAAATATTTAAGGAAATGTCAGTTTAAGAAATTCCTATGAATTTGGAGGACCAATTATTATAATGTAATATGTTTATGATAATGTAACGGAACACAATAAGTTCAATAATGTGGTTTATTCTCCACATACATAAGATAGCCAGGGTGGCCCAGGGTCTAAGATGTTGGGCTGGGAGCAAAGAAACAGGTTCTACTTCACCTTCATCACTGATGCTTCCTGGGTGACTTTGGACCATCACTGTCTCTTAGCCCAACTGGTTTCATGGGGTTGTTGCTATAATGGGGGGGGGGGACAAATAATGAATGCTAGCGCTATACATCCATCAAGATGTATCCATCTTGAACTACTGAATAACAAGAACAAAGGAGAATGAAAAAGCTACAAAACCAATTCATTAAATAAGCAAGTAAAAGGAACTTAAAAAAAAACACCCCAGTCCTTCTGGGATGCACTTTATTTAGATCATTTCCTCAGCAACTCTTTTTGAGTATCTGCTAATAGTTTCCCTATCTACATAATAAGATAACTTCTTATCTTAAGACAGGAAGGAAAAACAGATTGTAGAGACATTCCATGATAGGGCTATCCTATCTGGTCTGCAACCAGTCAGACTACCACTATTTAGCTAGTGGGCACAGGGAGAAATGTGCTGCAATCCTTGGAATTTTGCAGCTCTGCTCCCCCACTGACTGTTTTGACTGAGCAAACGTAGTTCACTAGAATTCTAATATCGGCACCAAACAGCCATGAAAGGAGCGATCCCACTTTTTATATTTTTTTAAAGTCTAACATTCACCTCAGGTCCCTTCAGATGCCTACCAAGTGTCTCCCCAATGCTTGACACATACCCAAAGTTGCTGCTCTAGCAGCTCTGTCAATCCAATAGACTTGGAATGATGGCCGTAAGAGTATCTACTGGGTGTGGTAAAAAATGATAAAAAAAAGGGTGGGGGAGCCATGTTAACTTTTTTGAGCATATCCTGCAAACACTTCTGGATGAGTCCATCTTTGCCTCTTCCCCATCCAGAGTACAAATGGAATGAGGGTGCTAATATCCATCTTCTATTTTGGGATAGCAGCACAAAAGTAAATGTAAGTTCCTTCAATTCCTTCTTTTCCCTATGACAAAGCAACGTTTTTAATTCCTAGAGTTACAAACGATAGGAGTACATGTATATGTAGAGAGAGTGAAAGAGAAAGATACGTATCTTTCAGTAAAATTATGGTGAAGATTTTTGATGTTTAGTAAGAATATCCAGAACATTTGGAAAGTATTTTAGCAGCAGAAACAAGTGTCAATAAACCAAGTGAACATTCCTAACCACCGAGATATTGGTTTGTATATCTCATACATTCTTTCTTTACCAGAGGTAGCAAAATAGGCAAATACCATGTAAAACAATTGCAGAATTTAAAGCAGTATTAAATAGGGTTGTGCACTGAAAGCTGTCAAT